ACACCAGGAAATGTTCTTGTTTATGGAGTTTAAGTCATTTGTTTTGACTGCGTCTGAAGTCCTCCGCAGGTGCTGTGTGGGCTCTTCTGTTTCCGGATTTAGAATCCTTTAATTCATTGATGATTAAGCTCTAAGCAAACTTTTAGTGTTCACTATTTTCTGTTTCAGATTCTTGCAAACGGGACAGAATGAAATTTATCGGTTCATTTCATTCAGTATTTTTATAGAACTAACTTATCTTACTTGATTACTATTTTCATTTTCTGCATTTGGATTTGTATCGTTGTTTAGGTCTATTGGTACTGTAGCAGGCCGCAAAGTTTGTTTTTTGAACTGTCTAAATAATTATAGGTTTGTATTTAGAATTGTATAAAAATAAAAGAGGAATGTGATAAAATTAACATCGCGGTTGTTCTAGACGAATTCTTGAATTGTTCATACGCAGTAAGTCTTTATTTCCGAATAAATTCCTCGTTTCTTATCAAAATGTACCTCTCGCAACGCTAAACCCACGGCTACGCTCCCACGAATGGTGGAGGCTGAAATTTGAAAGGAAATGCGTACGATTTTATGAAAAATCTTCGAAGAAAAGAAAATATAAGGTCGTAATTCTTATTTTATAATTATACTTAATATTTTATTGCTTTTATCCTCGTTCAGTGAATAAAAGCAAGAACGAAAATGCATCGAATGGCGACGCAGAACTTTTCTGGGTTGCGCGATGTGGAAGAGTTCATCAACCAATTTGAGGCCATTAGTGTCATTAATAATTAATTGGTCAGATGCGCAAAAAAGGTACGTGATTGTAACGTATCTTGAAGGGCCAGCTCTTCAATGTTATAAAACCAATTTTTCGTGATACACGACGTATGACATAATTGCACAAAAGTTAAAAGATCAATTCCCGTAGCAAATAGACTATGCACAAGAATTTTATTATATTGACAGATGTCTAATGAATTGCTATTACGTTGTTTTTACAATTAGATAATTTAGCAACGAAAGCAATGATTCATGATGATGGAACGTTTGTCAAGCATTTCCTAAGGTCTTTAACGCCGAATAATCAATGGATGCTTGCTAGCCATTGACTTACAAATTGTTTAATAAAAACAGTTATACACATTTAAGATGTATTTAACCAGGAATACCTACAATATGAACCAACAAGGTATCGAATTACCAATATGTTTTCCAAAAGAGCACTCTCACTGTTGGCAAGCTCAGGGAGATTCTTCACCGATAGTTGGACCCATGTCATACAGTCGGATTATCACAACACCACAGGCACCAATCGCAGCCATCGATCCAAATGAGGTGCGGCAGGATACACCACACTCAAGATATAATTTGAGACCACGTCAAATGTATTCACAAGCACAAAGGAGTGCACCTTCATCAGAATATTCTCAACGTGGATGTCATCAAGGCGCAGCTGGTCATTCAGGAAATTTACATACAGTTGATAACCTATAATAGGTAGGGCACTAGTGAAGACTCCCTTCAATTGTGAGGAGGAGGGATGTAGCAGACCGCATAGCTTGTATTTTGAACTGTCTAAATAAATATAGGTTTGTATTTAGAATTGTATCGCATGTGTACATCACGGTTGTTCTAGACGAATTCTTGAGCTGTACGCAGTAAATCTTTATTTGAAAGAAAAATCATTACATCTCATTATAAAAACAACATTTCCAAATAAATAACAATCTTCAACGTGTATGCTGTTAAGACGACATCTCAGGCCTGAACATCCATCAGATGCTCACTGGGTTACATCAATATAGATCTCGCAGCTGCCTTAGTCCTCGCCCCTAAGCTATACACGTTCCATCAGACTTTCTTTTTCTTACTACATTTTCCTCGTTTCTTATTAAAAAGTACCTCTCGCAACGCTAAACCCACTGCTACTCTCCCACAGTACCTACATTGCTTATCTACGACTTGCAGTGACAGCAAGACCGCTGTACATATAAGTAATATGTGGTAATTATCAATTTAGCACAACATCGGTGGCAGCGGCGGTGCTGCGAGGCTGCACGAGAGTGGATCCTTATAAGGACTCGCGGCGTGATGACGTCACCTGCGCCCCCGCACGGAACGGCTATCATTGCCACGATATGTAGCAGATTGTAATATTTTTCATGACACGTATTATCGTTTACTTATTTTTGCCTTTTAACACGTTCTTGTAGTGTGTATTGTGCACGTTAAACGTGCAGTGTGTACCATATAGAGTGCGTGCCAACGTGCGCACGCGCTGAGGTTAGTGCTACCTGAATTATAATATAGTTATTTGGACATAATAGTTAATAATCGAAGAAGATTACATTGTTCTTATTATAACATAGTTTGCATTTGAAGAAAATGGTATTACTTACGGCAATGAGTTTACCATGAGGTATATGTAATGAGCATAAAATATACTCCCGGCCACATAATTCGATCCACGTCGCATGTTTGTCGTAAAGGGCTAGAATACAAAAATAGTGTTATCATCGAAGAAAAAGTTTTCTCCCGGTTTTGCAAATCCAAATTCCCAACAAGGACTTATGGAAAAGACGTTTAGTATACTAGTTTCAAAATTGCGTAATAGTTTTTGAGCAATCAAACATTGTTTAAGCTGAGGGCCGTTAATACTGAAAATGCGTGGTGGCTCGAGTTATGTGTCCGGAAGTGTATATATTTAACTACATACGAACATGAAGTACAAAATAATTAAAAGTGTACCCATTATTTACTCCCAAAACTGGAGTAAGCAATCAAAATGTACTTGGATGTAAGCAATTAAGTACCTAAGTACCAACAAACACTTCATGCTCATTTCTACTTGAGTTAGGCAAAGACCACAGCGTTGGACTTGAATTCAATATAAGAATACAAGATATTTATTCGTTGAAAAATGTGTTAACAATGCAGGTCTTAGTATATTATATTAGATCGTACATTTCACCAAAACTTGGCATGCGAATATTTTACACAATGCTTGTTTCATTTTTGATGTAGCATGCATAGAAGTTAAATTAAAACAATAGCATAAACAAACTACAACAATTGGAATTTAACCAGAAAATAGAAAGTCAAGAATATAACATACAATAGTTACATTTTACAAAAATCATCAATATTGTAGTAGTATGTTGAGTGTGTGCGTTATTATTATTATATTATAGCATTGAGTAGGTAACTAACAAATTATGCAATTTCATTTTAAACTGTTCAATTTAATTCTTTAACGCCTTCTTTAGCGTCCCGTAATTTATGAATAATTTGGATGCTAATTACGAACATCGTTCTAATGTAAAGTTCTAAATTGGGTCGTTGCTTGGGCCGTATTTCTATTTTATTCTTTGTGTTTCTAGGATACCTAGTTTTGACTATATTAAGGTATTTCTGCAAAGCCGCAATTGTCTGTGTCCAAGCACTAAACTTCACCTAGATATTTATTAAACAAAAATCTACAAAAAAAAGAGAGTATAATATGGGTCGAAAGCTAACTGGAGATCACAAAATCTTCCCAATAAACCTTTCTTACCTAATAGAAAAAAAATCCAAAATGTATAAAACCTGACAACGATGGCGTGTCCCGAATACAAAATCCAACATAAAGTGTCATTTTTCTCAAAATTGAAAACATATATCTGTAGCTGAATTCAGTGGATCAAATATGTCATAAACTATTAATCTAGTTGCCCAATTAACGAAATCTTATGTAAGTTTGAGTTCTTTTTCCTTGCCGCTCAATGTTTTTCCTAAAAATTAAGCAAAAAAAATCGACCGCCGAAGTCAGACAATTTAGCTCTTCTAGGAGAAATGCCCATTAAAGTTGCTTAGATTTTATTTGACATAAACACAGGCCTCGTAAATATATATAGATGGTAGGGTTAATATCTTCAGTTATTATCTTAAGGTACACAACTCTCTCGTTGACTCACACCAAACATGGACCTGACACATTTGTTCTGGGTTTTAAATAGGGGCATACCTAATACGTGGTGCACCAGCATTTCCCCAGAATAGTAATCCATATCGCTAGCCAAACTGGGGGCTACATAAGCGTGATAAGCTCAAAGAGCAGTTTTTTATGATGTTATTCTTGTCAGATTTTTTAGAACATACACGTATTTACTAAGTTTAAAAATGTCGAGTCCCTTCCACTAAGACAAAATGTCAAAATATAAATTTAAACTTTTTCATTTTGACTAAATAAGGAAGTGGCGTTAAACAGTAAATACGCAAGTTCATAACAAGTGTGATCGATGAATCAATGCGCCTGCTCACGGAGGCGTGGGTGCGCGGGCGCAGCCTTGCCACTGCCGGAGCCGGAGCGTCTCATGCGCAGGCACTGGCTGTGATTGGCGATGATTAATGGCGCTGCGTTTGTCTCTGTTTAGCTAATGGTTTTATGACTCCGTAGTAAATTTATGATATATCTTTGAAGGATGTACTTACCTTTCTATTTATTAGATGAGTGCAGCGATGTCTACGTAGATAAAAGTATTGTACTAACGTTAATACATATATATAAAATTATTCTATACAGTGTTTTTTTAAATGGAACATTATGGGAAAATCCGAAACCATAGAAGGTACAAGGACTTCTGCTGTCTCGATTTTATGAAATGACCTTACGTAAAATTGAGTCGATCAACACTATAAAAATTATGATCAATTTTATTCTAATTTTTATGGACAACTTACGCTTGTAATGAAATTTTCATTGAATGTCAATGTTTCACCACTGCACTGTGATATTCAATTCTTTTTTGTGAAATTACTCCAAATTGTTTTCACAAAAAAGACTTAATGATTCCTAAGACAGTTTCCCTGTGTCTTCTATGGTTTCGGATTTCCCCATACTGTCCCAATAAAAAAGGAACACTGTATACTTGACCATGTTTTGACAGTTACCAAATGGTTATAAAAAAAAATTGATTCTAGTATGTGAGGAATATGCTGCCTTGCATGGACTAATTTATAACTTCAAAAAGACTAAGTATATGGTCTTCGGGGCTGCCGGCAAAAAGAGTCCTGAAAATGTGCTGCCTATAATGCTCAATGGAATTCCATTAAAGAGAGTATCACATTTTAAATATTTAGGACACTATATTGCCGACGACCTTAAGGACTCTATGGGCATGGAGCGCGAGCGCAGGACACTGTCGGTCAGGGCGAACATGCTATTGCTCGATGTACGGCGGAGGTTAAGGTCACTCGTTTTAGAGCCTATTGCACACCACTGTACGCGGGTGCCCTGTGGACCATCTATACCCAAAGCTCGCTCAGAGCCCTGCGTACGCAATATAATAACGCCTTCAGGACGCTGCTGCGGCTGCGACGGTTCTGTAGTGCGTCTGCCATGTTTGCTGAAGCTCGCGTCGACGGCTTCGTGGCACTCTTACGGAAGAAGTCGGCGTCTTTATTAAAGAGAATTCGTGGCAGCAGCAACGGCCTATTGAAGACTATCGCGGATAGGAGTGAGTGCCCCGTGATACGGCACTTAATAACAACCACAAAATCAGTAGTAGAATTTAAGTACTAACCTAATTATAAGCTATTTTTGTTACTAACACTTCATGGGTCCCTGTCGTCCGTAATAAAGATTTATTATTATTATTATAAATAAATTTGTCAAAATATAAAATTCTCTTTTATTTATTATCAAATGATAACTAATTGTCACCGAGGAAATGAACACAAAACCGTTTGTGAAAGGTTTCTGCAAGCGCAGGAAGAACAGGTCGTAAAGGTGTTGTGCCCCATATTAGCTTGCGACGACAATGAGCGTGGTGGTCCACATAGGTTGGCTTTATTTAGCCCATTTAAATTGCTGTGATTGGCGGTTGTGAATGGCGCTGCGTCAGTCCATGTTTTGTTAGAGGGTTTATGACTACGAGGTACGCAATAAATTTCATAGTTTTAAACTATGTCCTTTTATTACACAATATAAAGAATGTGAAGTCACCAAACCATAATAAATTCTCGCCTAGCTCCTTTAAAAACTAGATAATTACGTTTTTTCCATAAGAAGTGGTGTATCATAGACGTAGCTTAACAGCAAGGTAACCTCAATTCGGTTGCAACACACCCCGCTTCTGAAATGTCACACTGCCTTGCATGGACCTCATCTGTGCCACACCGCAGCCGCCAAATCACCACACACGGAAACAGTATCGATTACTTGGCTTCGTATTTTCGAGAGTGTGCAAGCCCTATCGAGATGTAGAGAAAAGAAATGAGCAATAATTTGTAACAAGGGATATTCAGCTTCATTGTAGGAGGAGAAGTATGAGTATTTTTATTTTATACAAAATTTCGAGTAGCTTTTATACAAGGGCAAAATAGAAAATAAAAACGATCAAATTCAAGACATTAGTGAGAGCATATATTTGAAAATCTGACAGTACCCGTAAATATCGCTCTCCACTTCTAGCTGAGGGAAACGGAGAAGAACTATTGAAGGTGCACTTGCACGGAGTGAAGAACCAGCGAAGAAGTACAAGTTTTTATGCCTTGTTTGTTGATCTGACCAGGAAGCAAAGTAATTAAGTACAATTGTTAAAGAATGTAGTTATGAGAACTAAATTAGATTCTTTATGAAAAATTGTCTAAATAATGGAATATAATGGTAGTCGGTAAAAAGTGTCAATCTGCAATTTCTGTAGGATGCGCTCTGGCGTTATGGTGAAGAATTGTTTGAAGAATAAAATTGGTTGACTAGACGTGTTTGTGTCTCTGCGAGTCTTGCCCTCGTCGTGCATATTCTATTCACAATAGCGATCAGCTGTCATCATTGTACCAGATCTAAGAAGCGGTGGTACAGCTGGATCACTAAACAGCAACAATTTTCTATAGGAACTTTTCTTGTTTGAATACTGTTTGGTCTTATAGTAAGGGTGCATCCAGTAGGTATATAACCAGAAATAAAGACGAAATGTCATTTAATTTGTGTGAACCAGGCGCGACACGCGTGACGGAGGATTAGGTGCTGCATTGTCAATTGTTTAAAATTTTCTTTTTTTTTAAATTCTTTTATTATTAAATCATTATTTATTTTAGACTCTCGCTTCTAATGTTGAATTGTTATTATTATTGTTCCTCTTGTGTTTTGTTTATATGCGTGTCTGTGCTTGTGTAATAAACAGTTTTCTTTCTTTCTTTGAAAACTATTCTGCCGAATCGTTACGGTGACAACTGCACTCCGATTCATCATCATTCAGCCATAAGACGCTCACGAACCCGAATTCGAAAGAATTGACGGATGTCGTCAATTGTTTCACTTCAAATCGATCAGTTTAACTTGAGCTTTGCTATATAGGATGAAAATTGAAAAATTACATATTTAATATTTAATTACCGATAAAATGTGTTTCGGTTTGTTTTGTAATTAGATGTTTTACTGTTTTTCCCACACCACCTAATGGAGCAGCCCCCCATTGTTAGAGATGTTACCACCATCCTAGACAGTTAGCTACCGTGGGCAAATCTTTGTTTCAGAGAGCACATGGTGTCTGCGATAGTAATCATCTGGCAGGGGAACTTCTGCACATAAAGCAAGTCCTACATGCAAATAAGTTGAAGATTCCACGCCAATGCCGCAGGCCCCGTGTGAAACCACCAACAGTCGAGCGAAGACCTGCCATTTTACCTTAAGTGAGAGGTCAAGCCCCTGAGGAAGATTTCTCAGTTTAGGGATGTTGTATGTCACGGGTCTCACCCGTGACATGCAACATCCCTTTACAGGATGCAGGAGTTTACAAGCTTGACTGTGAGTGCGGTCTCTCTTATATTGGTCAAACGAAGCGAAGTATTTGTACCCGCGTCAAATAACATATAGCTAATGTTCTGACATTAGCTATATGTTAGATAACGTCAATGTCAGATAACGTTGCGTAAACAAGTCTGCAGTCTGCGAGCATGTCATGGATAAACCTACACATTCAATGAAGTTTGACAAACCCCAGGTCCTTGCAAAAGAAGTCCGTTATCTACACAGGATGTGCGAGTGACCATTGAAATTAAAAAACATCCTAATTTCAACAGGGAAGGTAGTGTCTCCGTGCCACCAGAGTTATTCGGTATTTCCTCGGATGGAACATACATAAGACATAAGACTGCAGTACTAATTAATATATTCTATTTTCCATTAATAATTAATGATAAATTTACCTTAATAAAAATTCATATTGTTACAATAAAATAATTTGTAAAACAATGTAGCGTTATTTGGAATGTTTCTTTATAAAATTAAAAATAAGGTATTTAATTAATAACTATTGTAACTATAGTGAAAAAATAGGGTGGTTTGCATTAATATTAGACATAAGTGGTTGAAGACTGTACCACCTCAGTGAACCGTGACCATGGGACCTGTAAAGGGCCCGAAACGTTGGTTTGTTTGAAAAAACGAATAATAATATCCTACAATATCATACAATACAATATCCTATAATTAATTTCCTACAAACTAAGTTGTAAAGCAAACGCAGCGTATCAAACATGTATGTAGTATAAGTAATATGCATGTAAGCGTTTTGGTTATTGCTGTAAGTTTACATTGTGTTTTTATAAATAACTAAATAAATGAGTAAATAGTGCGCTCGTTACTTTTTCCGCTTTATACAGTCATTTGCGCAGCACGAGTGCTACGCCGGGACCAGAGAGTATTTTGTTAATTATTATATAGGTACTGTTAATCAAACTCGTATCCGAATATTACACGAATTTCAACAGTACTGTTAGATTTTTAGTATAAATGCAAAATTAACCAAAATAAAAACCAATGAATAATGCAAAAATTTTGTATTTAATAAAAAAAATCTGATTCTTGCAAAAATGACTTTAATTCTTAAAGTGGGCATTTCACAATTTTACCTCAAATGTTATTTTTTTATATTTGCTCTAATATAGCGCCTTAGAAAATACTGCCAAAGGAATTAAAAAGTTTTAATAATAAAGTGTTTCAATTTTTCGAATAAAAAGCAGTGAAATTAATGAAATGTGTATTTTTTTATCAAATGTAATTAATAATGTAATTTCAACTTTCATTCACGGTGTCGCAACTTATAAAGCATTTTAATAACGAAAATGTTTAGACCACTCATACGGCCAGACCTATGACGCAAGTGACGTTAAGATTAAGTGATTTTTAGTGATACGATAGTGCGCTCAAATGAGAATCGTATCGCAAATCAAAGCGTTGAAAAATGACTTCCATCAAGGCGTCCATTAGCGGCGTAATAAGCGATAAAAGGTTTGCAGTTCTAGAAATCACTTTCTAGTTCTTGTGGTGAAAGTGGAGACTGGTGTCGGTTGTCGAGGACTGTGGTGACGGCAGATGGTGCGACGATGGTGACAACTGACCGCCCGCTGACTCGAATAATGATCCACTGAAGCTTCGCCTGTTTTTAATGTAACAATGACGATGTTTAACGCAGCATTATTTTTTTTGTTTAATTCTGACTGCTTATCTACTCTATGTGATTACTGCTGCTTTGTTCATTCTGATGATCACTCTCTTCTCTATTCAGTTTGTTGAGTGGTCAGTAGGCACCTATGTATTCCATTGGAATTACTTGTATGTTTCTTGTTTTATAAAACAACTCGTAATTAGGCCATGGTGACTTAAATAAAATAAGTTTTTAGAAATATTTTCCTGCAAGGCATTGGTCATTCTACGCCCATTTACAGAGCAGTATGTGCCATATTGGGAGCACGATGCGGCGCCGCAGCGGTTGCTCCATGGCTCCATTAATTCGCACAAACAAGATCATTCTTGGCAGGCACTTGGCTACACCTATTTTATTTGTACATAGAAATGTTGGTTTGAGGTAATCTCAAGGGTCTATAAAACCATTTGTAAGGGCTTGCTTTCAAATGTCATTTCGAGAATAACTAGATGACTTTAGAATAGTCACATATTCGGACAAAGAATGTTGACTAAATTACATATTATTACTTCAGGTTGCGTAGTATTCCATTTTACGATCCGGTGTTCAGGAAACCAACATAAAACAAGGTGGCTACGTTATACCTGCATATATAGGTACATCAACGTATAATATAATATGTATGATTGAATCACCATTCCTATAATTTATCGTTGTACTTACAAACTGATTAATAATTCAGAATGTTGTAAGTAACGAGTAACAGCGCGGTAATATAGCCTCGCCGAATCGGGAGACATGCCGCCCTTGTGCCAGTGGCGTCGCGGGCGCAACGTCATGATCTTACTTCATAAAATAGGGTGAGAATAGATCAGCGATAAACTCTATTGGGGGTCTCCAAGTTCAGCTTTGGTTTTGACGTCATAAAAATGTAAGTATATAAGCACTTCCACTGAGTGTATGCAACAAAACTATTGTAATAATTGAGCAAACTTCGACAACTGAAACCTGTCACGGCCCCAGCTCCATAACGCAAGAGCAGCCCTGATATGACTTGATGGATCGCTCTCTGTTTTTGGTGCGCAGATGCTGTCGCCGTCGCGTCGCCGCCGTCGTCGTTGAGGCCAGATTTCGTCGTGTGATTTATTCCCGCGCTCGTAGATCTTCGCAGATAAAATTAGAAGCACCATCATAATATTTTTTGGAAAGATAGGACATGAACGTTAAAAACCTATATAAGTAGGTACCTACTAAGTAATGCACGCAACCGATATCGGAACGGGTGGCACAAATCAGATATGAAGTACCTACTTACTTGTATAGCAACCAAAATGAGCCCTTGCATATTATTAAATATTATAGTTATTTTCTTGTTTAATGCAAGCATGACTATTTAGATCGAATGGAAACACAAATACAATATTCTGACAGTTCAATGTCATTCAGCTGCTTGTTTATAAGTCTAGTGCAAATGGCGAGTAATACAAAAACAAACATTGTTCTCGGCGACATCGTCAATGTGCGAGATCTGTAAATAACAATTGAAGCAAGCGTATTGACACGAGAGAGCAAGAACTATTAGCGGCAAAAATCTTGATGTTTCCATATTGCCAAATCCACTTTCCCGTAAGTGCTACCTCCTGCGCATTGGCGCGGTGAGATAGAACATATTTATTTTTGAGAGTATTCAATTCATTATTCGTGGTGAAAGGATTTGCCAATGGGCGCTGATTTTTGATCAGGGGCTTTACCATGAACTCTTATTACAGTTCAATATAGGTTCGTAACGACAAAAAATCGGGATGGTGATAATAAGCACTTCATGTAGCGCTGTCCCACAATGATTCATTTTCGGTCCTGAACTGAATCGTAATAAGAATCCATGGTAAGGCCCCAGGGTGCGCCAGACTGACAGGAAAAAAATGGTACGGTTTGCGAAGAGGCTCCTTTCGTGCACACTGCCATTATACAACTGACAATGTTAGATACGCAATTAGCTAAAAATGTCAAAATTACAAAAAGATGCAGTTTAGGTACTTTTAGAAGTAGATTCCTATTGCAATTTCATATGGTTTAATACGATTGAAAATCATTATTATAGGTAACAACGTCGAAACAGTTATTCTTATAAATTACTTCACGGAATAAATGATTCATAAATTCAGCTCCCTGCGGTCACGTACGAAACAGCTTGGTGTGCCTTTGAAGGACTACATCGTGTGTTTTAAAATATTCAAGATGAGTGTTGCTAAGTACACAGATATCCAAATGTTTCAGGCGCCGCACATTTTCTGAACATATCTCTTTCGAACTGTTATCCCCCTAACATAAGACCATAGCTAAGCACGAAGGAAGTGTAGGTAGCCTTGAAAGACCGTGAGCAATGCTTCTCGAGAGACAATTTGTGTTAGTCGTCGTAGACCGCAAAAAAATCTATTGAGTGTAAAACAAGTCTGTTCGTAATTTTGTTTTCGGTTAAAGAACTTCCTAAATTAAGTTGGTTTCACCATCAACAATTCAAAGACAAAAGTCATGATCGTCGACATGACCGGACATCTAGTTCTTACAATATCAGGCTTCTTTTTCTCATTATGCGAAATCTGGTACATTATGGATACATTACTACAACCGAGTAGATAGGTCAATTTGCAAGATAAGTACCTACGTCTGGAACTCATTGTATCATGTCGTAGCGTTATAATTAAAATTCGGAAATTTCGACCTTCTGTAGACGAAATCTGAATTAGATATTTTTGCAATCGAAATACTTACATAATGTACCTTAACGTGGCGTAAAAGATGAATTAATGCAAGAAAGACATAGTACCGGGGATACGGGGATACAATGGTTAACAGCGCTGTTCTGTCACGCATTGTGCGTATGAGCCGGTCCGGCGAGGTGCACTTGCTGGCCTTCAGGCGCGCAGACGCAGTACTTACAAAGGTAGTTATTGAAGTTACATAAAAAAACATCAATCTGTCAAGTTGTCTATTTAGGGTGTTTATGTACCCGAACGTAAGGCGTATATTCTAGATAGCTAAATACCATTGTTATAGGTTATAGATGAAACAACAAATAAAAATAAAAAAGTAGTTTACTTATCCACATTAATATAACAATTGCATGTTTTAAATAATATCCTTTGTAGTTACCTATTACAAAAAATATAAGTTTTTCTTACGTCTTTTGTAAATAGGCGATTAGAATTATTGTAATCCTTGCACATTTGTATAAAAAAATAAGAATTATATTTTTATTTATGTATTTAATCATTTAAATTAATTCACGCAGAACTCTGGTTCAACAAAAGTTTTGTGTGTGGGAAGACATTTTATAAGAATAATATTGTCGTAAAGCCAAAGTTGCTTGTTTATAAATACAGAATAAGTCTCAGGTAATAATAACCTACGTATGTAATTTACACCTAGGTATTCTAGACTTTTCATCGAAGTAACTAAATTACTTAAATATAAAGATAATAAGATTAGTTGTGTATTTCAAGTAAAACAAACTTGATCAGTTTAAATTTCAAGTTTTTAGCGACGACGACGTTTCGGTGTGAGCAGATACATGAGCATTGAAACTGTCGTCTTTTCGCCAATGTCGAACGGGCTGGGGCGGGGGCCTGTCGACAAATTAGGAAAGGAATTAAATCTAATCGCTTTACATTTATTCATTGGTCGAGTGCGTTGCGAAAGTGCGATTCGGTTGAAATAAACGGCTTAGTCCGAATCAGGCGCGACATGTCCACGGCGTATATGGACAGACGTGTCCATCGCACAGGCGCTGCTGCTGCGCAGGCGCCACCATGTGTGCTCACGATCACCATATGGCATTAGACCAGCTTACACAATTCCTCTGAACTATACTCACCACCAGTACCCTTGTATTCTTCATATTACTTTTGGTATATTAAATAAAACCGTAAGCTTTCAGATGAAGTTAAGAAAATGTACAGAGCGGTTGCAACAGAATTGTATTGACAACATATTTTGGTTATTGCCAGCTATTCATTAATTTATTAATTTTATTGTTGTATTGTACCTACTGTACTGGTAGTGAGTATAGCTCATAGGAATTGAGTACTTCTATTTAGAAGGTGGTTAGATTTATCTGTCCACATACTAAATAGAAAAAGTATAACAACATAAAACTGATAAGCAACTAAACTGAAAGTATAAGTAACTACAGTGTTAAATAAGTAGATCGAAAATTCAATTTTTAACCGACTTCAAAAAAAGAGGACGTCCGTTTGTATGTAGTGGGTGAGGTAAATTCAATTTCACATACTTTCCGTTAACCGATTTGAATTAAACATTGCACTTATGAAAATAAAATATTATGGTGACCTAGAGCTGATCTGATGATGGAAATATTATGGACATCTTCTTAATGAATTTATGAATATTTGTACGCGCATACAAAATCCTATTTCAGTAAATGTACCTACTGTGATGCCACAGTCATGGTACCAATCTCCTGAAACTTTTCTCTGATCCGAAAACCTAAACGGTACAAAGAACAGAACGTTTTTGCAATACTTTGGTTTGTAAAGTGGATAATCCCGGAATGGAATTAAAAATACTTACAAAGCAAATAAAAGACGTAACATAATAATAATATTTTTACAATTACAAAATTTTACTTTTAAATACACTAGCGTAGGAGCTGATTTGATCATGTAAATGACAGACAGATGAGACGAACTCCCCAACAGTATACAACTACGTAGCATTTGGGCTCACGTGATTCTTATTGAGGCAACCGCGGTAACGAACATAGCGAAAGCGAACGGACGAACTTTTGAGGTCGTTTTTTTAAAAAAGTATTTAGACTACAATCATCACTTATTCACTATATATCTCTCAACAAATTCTTCAATGACGTCGACCTGCCTGTCTCTGTACACGGGACACTGCTTTCCGTATTCGATGACGGGCTGGTTGCGGTCCTCGAGGTACCTATCGTACGTGAGAGGGTCGTCGAAGTACCGCGAAGCCGCCACTGGCGACATCAACACGTACGGGAAGATGCCTATAGCTAAAACGTAAGCAAACATCCGGGATTTCTCACACCACGACAAAAACTCCTCATACGTGTACCCCAACTCTTTTAGTCTGTGCTTCGTCGCGTCGTCCAAAGATTCCGTGAACACGGAATAGTAATGTTCGAATACTTTCATCTCGTTTTGCTCGCGAAAATTTCTAGTTGTCGTCAAATACAGAAAGATGTTCAAATCAAACGCTGGTGGACCGTAACGTAAGCACTGGAAATCGATAATCAATGCGTTCACAGGTACACCGTCGGCATACTTGAACATGATGTTGTTTATCCAAAGGTCTCTATGAATAAGAACATTCAGAGTATCGTTGTAATCTCTAAAACTGCCACTTGACTCGATGTACAGTTTGGTCAATTTCTCTTCCAGGTCGGGGATATTGTCGTTGTTGTATTTCTTAGAAAATGTATGAAGGAGGTTAGCGGAAAGTTTTCCACACGCTCGAAGCCATGGACTGTCATAGAATGTAGGTTCTTTCATGAGGTGTCCGTATTCATCGAGGAAGTTGTAGGGACGTTGACGATTGACACTTTTTTTAGTGGCAAAGTTGGCGTACGAAGAGTGAAAACGAGCGATGGATGCCGTAACAGTTAAAACATGCGGCAAATCCAGAGTGTCGAGGTAGTGGCGTTGTGTGTAGCCAAAAACGGTTTGGTCCGGCATCACCAGAAGAGATTCGTTGAAGATGTAGGCTTTAGTGCGCCAAGGATTTGGACCTGGAACGAAATGCGCGAATTGGATAGGGTCGTAAGCATAGTCGTAACATCTCGATGTTGCGTAATATTCGGTTCACAAAACATCACAAAACAAAATGATAGTAATTAAGCGGTTACTGTCAAGTTAAAGTGTACAAAAGTTGAACATTAATTCAAAAGCTGATTTCTAAAGTGTTTTTAACACCAACCAAAATATACTTATGCCACGGCGACCACGTTACCCCGCCGCCGCCGCGCCGCGCGCCGGTCGAAAAACCATCAGACGCCGCCGCCGCCGTCTACGATTTTGCGACCAGCGCATCTCTAGTATAGCTGGTATATTCTAGTATACCTAAACCTATTAAATAAATTTTGTAAATAAAACTCACCGTGATCACCTCCAATGTTTTCGAATACCTGGAACGTGAGCATCTCGCGTCTGAAAAAGTTCCCTTTATCAATAAACGACGCTTTGTTCTTATTCATCAGCGGCATTGTCTTCACGAACAATTGTACCGTTTTGATGCTCTCGCCAACCCGCACGTGCAGCGTCGTTCTGTAATGGTCTCCGAGGAAGCCGGTTAGCCCTTCCGCAGCGCGTTGCAAGTCGCATCGTAGCAACTGCCACGACTCGTTCCCCAATACTTGCTTTAATATGTGATGGACCTGAGAGTCCGTGAAAACTTGTCTGATGTTGCTGCAAACCTCGCTACTCGTCATGACTCCGACCGCAACACGCACTGAAGGTACAGGAATAACTTGCAGCCTCGTATAACAGTTCCGTTTTATATTGCCTCTTATCTAACAGTTTTGTTTCCATTAATAGGTTATCTTTGTTTCATCTCAATTGATAACTAACTATTACAATGCGTTTATTATAACGCGCGAGTCCGGACTTTGCTGCCTCGTAATAAGTACTTGGAAAACGCAAACCAGAACCGCATGTGTGGAACATGAGCAAATAATGGCAAGAGACATCAAGTGTAATTTATTGGAGTTATTTTTGTGCCATGTATGCCTTTGTGAGTTGAGGCTCGGAGGACTGCGACAAGGAGCATTTTGCAGTGCACGTGTTGTAGGAAAATGCTCTACATTGAACGACGTTAAATAATTAAATATGAAGAACAAACAATTGCTGTCTTTGCGTCTGATATTGGAATATCTATTGACGTCATCGCCACAACGTCTAAACAGATCACCAGTATTTTGTTTTTGTGGACAGACATGGTACCTACTCGCCTATTCGTTTTTTATACTAAATATATGTTATAATTAGGTACATAAGATTTATTTTACATAGGCCATAATGTTAATACCTAATGTATAAACAGGGTAGGAAAGATATAACTCTTAAGAACTGTGGCGCAAATACGTAGAAGAAAGAAACATACCTGACCATCTCAACTCGTATTTTTGAGTGTTATGTCTAAATTTAACATTGGTGTGGATGAGCGGCGTTCGATGCTATACTTGAGTGACGTACGGAGTGCTAATGTGCTGTGTGACTGACCGACAGACCGACAACACATGTCCACTACAACAGCAGCATATAAAACAATTGACTGTATCACCAAAGGCATCGATGCCAAGTGTAAATAGCTGGCATATTCTGCGACTTGTCCAAAGCTTTTGACATCATAAGTCATGACCTGCTTATAAAAAAGCTAATGTGCTACGGTCTGCGAGGACGTGGAGTAACCTACTGCGATCGTTTTTAGAAAATCGAACACAAACGGTTGAAGTAACTTTCAGCTGCAACTAATGAGCTTTTAAAGTACTGAATATAGAGAACTTACTCAAGTCCTTCTTCAGGATGAGCTTAGTGAAACAAATGATCCAATAGAAATAAATCAGACTCCATTCCCACCACCCACATCATCAACACAACCAGCACGTGCACCATATGCCAGCGTTGTTGCAGGAAAACGTATCTGCTCCACTACAACTGTTGAAGTTCGATACAGTCAACGGTCAACCAAGACTATTAGAACTCCAACCAAGACTATTAGAACTCCTACCAGGCCATCCAGAAGAACGGTAGTTTTTTCTGATAAAATAGGCGTAGGACTGGGCCACCACCTAAGTAACCACTTGAAACAAAGGGTAGTCGACTTTTGCTGTCCAGAAGCTACTTTTAGTCAAGTTATTACACTGTTAAGTGGTTGCAACTTTGATAAATATACAACAGTGATTCTTATAATAGGTGATAGTATAACATTAGTAAAAAAGAAGTAAATAGTAGCATTGACGTGTTCTTGAGAATTCATGAGAAGTGTGGGTGTAAATTCATACTAAGTGCATTCCCTTACTGCTCTAACCTAGGCATCGCTCGTAATAAGTATATGTATAACATAAATTCGCACATTCATATTTTGGCTTGCCGTCACTATGACGTTATATTTTGTTTTGACATTAATAAGTTCGTAAGGAACTGCAAACTTTTTGAGGATAATTTACTTTTACCCATAAGTTATCAGAGACATATAGCTAGTTTGCTATCTTTTAATATTAAGGACGCTGTTATAGAAGATATAACACATTCCCACGACAATGCTCCTACTTTAAGTAGCAACAGTATACTTATTACTAACCATAATTTAAACTGAAAAACACGACAACAGAAAAGTCTAATCATTTCCATGTAGTACATCAAAATATTCAAGGCTTTTCTGGCAAAACATTAGAAATAAGCCTTTTTTTTGCACGATATTTCCGTTGACGTGTTTTGTGTTACAGAACACCGGCTGAAAGACTATGAAGCAATTAGCAACATAGAAAATTATAATAATAATAATAATAATAATAATAATTTAATATTAATTTTTTAGGCCTTGGGAGAGGCGAGAGTTTAAAATAAATAAATACGAAAATAATAATAATAATAATAATCATTTATTTCAGGCAATTTGACCCATATTTATAAATTACAGCAAATACAATAATAATAATAATAATAACGCACACACTCGACATAGCCCCGCACTAGGGAAACCCTGTGTCGCGGGTGCCATGGACACACAAATAGACAATTACAAATTACACCCAAACTCACGAGACAAATAAATGTAGGCCATACAAATATTTCTCCCGGCCCGGGAATCGAACCTGAGACGTCTGCATGGCTGTCCGGCATGGTAACCGTTCGGCCACGGAGGCAGTTTAAATTAATTACTATTCAAATTTTTTTAATTAAGTACAATAAATTAGTGAAAACATTTTGTAAATTAAGGCTAAAAAATACAATAAACTTTTAAAATTGATTACTAATAATTAAAATTGAAACAATTACTAATAATTAAAATTGAAACAATGAAAATAAGAATTTCTAAAATTAAATATATAAAACAAAAATAAAAATAAACTAAAATTCAAAGTATTAATAATGAAAATGGAAATTACTATTTACTTACTTACTAAAGCGGGATGCACTGGCATGCAGCTGCAACCACCTGCACGTCATAGGCGAATCCCAGCGCTCGGACAGAGCGCTCAGAATTCCGTTGGTGCTGGCCCGGAAGCGAAACAGTAGTGAAGCGCTCCGTTTGCGTATTATAGCGTAGAAGTCATCAATGTGAGCTTCCGCAAACATGGCGGAGGCGCTACAGAATCTCGGCATTTTCAACAGAACTCTGAGCGCATCGTTGTACTGTACACGCAATGCACTGTACGCCCGCTGCGTAAAGTTAGTCCATAGGCCGCACGCGTAAAAGCTCTGACAATATGCCCTAAAGAGCGTCAGCTTTACTTGTTTTGTACAGCGAGCAAACCTACGGGCCAACATGTTGCAGCGGACGGACAGCGCCCTACGCTCCCTATTAATGTCCTCGCAATCACACAAGTCGTCGGTGACCCAGTGGCCCAAATATTTAAATTTACGTACCATATTCAGGGCAGTGCCACAAAGAGTAATGGGTACAGAAGAGTAGCATTTGGTACCAGCTTTAAAAATCATACATTCACTTTTTTTTTAATTGTATCTGAGCCCATGGGCCTCCGCGTACGACTCACAAATGCGCAGTAGTTTTCTCAGAGCACTCACCGATGGACTCAGCAGCACCATATCGTCGGCGTAACTGATGTTATTCACGCACACTCCGTCTATTGAGCAACCGACATTGGCGCTGGCGAGCCGAACGATGAGCTCGTTCATGTACAGGTTGAAGAGACGGGGCGAGCTCAACCCCCCCTGCCTCACCCCACACTCCAACCCATACGCATCCGAGAACTCCCCTGCCCATCTCACCCTATTCCGCTGGTGATTATACCAATACCTAAAAATTGACACAATCTCATGAGGGAGTTCAGTTTCGGATTTCAGCTTTTGCCACAGCTTGTCATAAGAAACCAGGTCAAAGGCTCTGGACAGGTCCAAAAAACAGGCGTAAACTGGTGTTTTTCTAGCAGTGTAATACTGAACAGTTTGCTTGAGACAGAGTATAGCACTTTCAGTTGATAAACCCGGCCTGAATCCAAACTGAGCGTCATGCAGGTGGATGTGCTTGTCCAACTGTTTGTCAAGCAAACTGTCCAGCACCTTAGCTACAGTAGTTGCTAGTGAAATTGGCCTGTAATTAGACAAGTTTGAGGCATCACCTGTTTTGTTTTTAATAATTGGTATAACCACCGCACACATTAGGTCATCGGGCAAATACTCATGACTCACACATAGGTTGAAAAACATTGCGAGAACCCTTGGTAGGTGCGGACCGGCGTACTTTAAGTGCTCGATGCTGAGGTGATCATGACCCGGGGACTTGCCTCGAACCATCCCTTTTATAATATCTGCTATATCTGCAGCCGAAAAACGTACACTAATGTCCTCTGTCGACACCTGTCCGAGCGGCGACTCCACCCTGAAATGACGCTGAAACGCGGTGGCTATATTTTGTGGCCCGTGCACGCCGCCCACACTCACAGGTAGACTCGACTTAGGGTTTAAGTTATTGGTTTTTTTCCAAAATTTGTCAAAATTTTTCTTAGCATGATGTTCTGCCAGAATATCCATTTTTATTTGTGTTTCATTATCTTGACAAAATCTTAGCTTAGATTTAATAGTCAGTTTAATAGTCAATTATGTAATAGTCAGTTCGTTCATAAGAAAGAGCTTAAGTAGAGGTGGATCTATGATTATTATTAAACGTAACTTACAATTTAAAGAGAGTAAGGATATCACAGATCTTTCTACTGAACGAATTATTGAGATTTCATGTGTGGAATTGGATCAGTTTGTCGTCTTATGTGTATACAGGCCCCCTCTACTAATTTTAACGAGTTTGAATGAATTATGGAAGATGGTTTAAAGCGGATTTTTCCAACCAAAAAAACGTAGTAATATGTGGAGATTTCAATGTAAACCTGTTGGAAAACTATTCTACTTCTGTAAGACTCATTAATTCATTTAAAAGTTTTAACTTGATTAATCTTTTCTTGGAACAAACTTGCATCATCTACTTGTATTGATAACATCTTTTGTAACACAGACGCAGTGTCTAAATCAATAATAAATTGCTTAAGATCAGACCATAGCGGCCAATTGGCTTCTTTTAATTGTAAAATGAGCAAGTAGGTAGACCAATTTCTCTGCAGACCGATTACCACAAAACGAATCATTAGATTTCAAAATAATATCGGTAATAGTTTAAATACCCTACCCCATATACCGGAGATTCCAAATACTTTATATAGCACGATATTTGGTTTAATTAGAAATTAATTTGATAATGTAT